GGGAAGTTTAGTTTCACAACCCTGTGCTTCTTTATGACCTCCCTGCAAATAACTTACTCCTATTGTTATCTCATTTGAGTTTTTTAATATTTTATCCTGTACATGTGGCCCGCCCACTGTCACTGTGATTGTGTTTTTTGTAATGCTATTTTGTTACTGTATTCATATGTGTTTTTTTTTCTTTTTCAATGTAATTTTAATGCTGTTGCTTGTTGCTTATGTTTTGGTTTTATCTTGCTGAAATATGTTGTCCGGGCTTGACCTCATGTAAGCCGCCCTGAGTCCCCGTTGGGGAGATGGTGGCGGGGTATAAATAATGATGATGGTGATGATGTTGATGGTGGTGATGATGATTATTATTATTACATGCAAACATACATGAACATACATACATGTAAACAAATATATTTTTTCTAAAAAGTAAAAGAGTCTATAAAATCTAAGTATTCTGCCTGATTGCTCTTTCTCTCCATCATTTTCCCAAATTAAGAGTGCCTCTGCACTGTAGAATTAATGCAGTTTGACACTACTTCAACTGCCCTGGCTCAATATTATGGAGTCATGGTTCTACATCTACAAGGTCCTTAGCCTCCTCTGCCAAAGAGTGCTGGTGTCTCACCAAACAACCAATCCCAGGATTCCATAGCATTGTGCTATGGTAGTTAAAGTGGTGAGAAATTGCATTAACTGCACAGTGTGGAGGTTCCCAAAGCTTCTTCCTTTGTCCCATTGTTTATTAGGCTACAGAACCGAGGAGTTGCAAGTTGGAAATGTCTGGGGAAATACAACTATCCTGCTACCTTGAGGAGATTCAAGAGAAAGGAGCAAAATTTCCACACAGAAGCTTTCCACCCACACATCCCCAGCTTGTATGATATCAGTGTTTGTGTTTGGAAAGAACAGTGGGTTTTTTTGGCCACTCCATTGGATGTGTTACATGGTTAACCAGGAACCAATGCAAAGGAAGCCTTCATCAGAGTCCACCTCAACAGTGATGGTCATGAATCCTTTGCATCTCAATTTTTTCTCATATCAAGGTTTTGATGTTGTTGAATAGTTGTCGGTTGTTGATGTTGTCGGCTTAAGGAGCTGGGCATGTTTAGCCTGAAGAAGAGAAGGCTGAGAGGAGATATGATAGCCATGTATAAATATGTGAGAGGAAGCCACAGGGAGGAGGGAGCAAGCTTGTTTTCTGCTTCCTTGGAGCCTAGGACGCGGAACAATGGCTTCAAACTACAAGAGAGGAGATTCCATCTGAACACGAGGAAGAACTTCCTGACTGTGAGAGCCGTTCAGCAGTGGAACTCTCTGCCCCGGAGTGTGGTGGAGGCTCCTTCTTTGGAAGCTTTTAAACAGAGGCTGGATGGCCATCTGTCAGGGGTGATTTGAATGCAATATTCCTGCTTCTTGGCAGGGGATTGGACAGGATGGCCCATGAGGTCTCTTCCAACTCTTTGATTCTATGATTCTATGATTCTAATGTTATCTTCCTTTTGTCTAAGATGATGTATATAGACAACAGCAAGGACAATTTTATATGCATGACTCAATACACACAAATAAGAAAGATATGGCATATTTCCAAGTAAGAATCTTGCCTTAGGCAGCAGGTGGTGAGGAGGTAGAATAATGTTCCCACTATTTTGCTTTGAATACTGGTAGCCCACCATTTCTTCAATGATTCCATTATTTTCTTTGGCTGCTGGCTAGAGGACAAAAATGGAAGCCTCCCAACAGCAAAAGAAACAGGTCTTTTGCCTGAGGGTTTCTTTGCGCTTTAGGATTACTCAGATCTCTTTGTTCAAAGAACTAATCAGAATAGAATCTTTTTTTCCAAGGGCAAGTCTAAATCCCATTGCCAATTCCCATCAGAGTAGAGAAGGGATAGATTCAATGGGTTTACTTTAGTTTGGAATAACAATTGAATGTAGGCCAAGATTTAATGCTGTGTTTATAGTCTTATGAAATGCTAATGGACAAGCACCCCCCGAGGCTGTTAAAATGTATTCCAGCTTTTCAAGAAGATTACCCATTGTCGCATCCCTTTCAACTGTTGTCTTTTGACTGCAATTATGATTTATTTATTTATCATGTCAGAAGTGAATTGAGAATACAGTTATAATATATAGAAAAACCACAAGCCAAAAAAATTGGCATTATACTAAATTTCCTTTGACCAGAAGCTGGCCACTTCGAATGTCTGTGGTGTCATTGTAAGAAGATCCTCCACTGTGCATGTGGCAGGACTTAGGCTGCATTGTAGTAAGTGGTCTGTGGTTTGCATGTCGTGGACTCCACTTTATAGCCCCATTTCTTAAGGTCAGCTCTGAATCTCGTGGTGCCAGAGCGCAGTCTGTTCAGCACCTTCCAAGTCACCCAGTCTTCTGTCTGCCCGGGAGGGAGTTTCTTATCTGGTATCAGTCACTGATTGAGGTTCCGGGTTTTAACCTGCCACTTTTGGACTCTTGCTTACTGAGATGTTCCAGCGAGTATCTCTGTAGATCTTAGGAAGGTATTTCTTTATTTAAGACATTGGCATGCTGGCTGATATCCAAACAGAGCTTTGTCCTTTCATTACAGGCTACTACTTCCCGACAGAGCCCCCAGTGGTGCAGTGGGTTAAACCACTGAGCTGCTAAACTTGTTGACTGAAGAATCTGGGGAGCGGTGGTCAGCCTCAGCTTCTGCCAACCTAGCAGTTTGAAAACATGCAAATGTGAGTAGATCAATAGGTACCACTCTGGCGAGAAGGTAACGGCGCTCCAGGCTGTCATGCTGGCCACATGACCTTGGAGGTGTCTACGGATAATGCCAGCTCTTCAGCTTAGAAATGGAGATAAACACCAACCCTCAGACTCGGACATGACTGGACTTATTGTCAAGGGAAAACCTTTACCTTTACTTACTTCCCGACAGATGTCAGGTGGTGCAATACTGGCTAAACAGTATAATTTCTCCACTAGTGTAGGGCATAGATATCATGTGATAATGTGGCATGTCTCATTAAGAGACACATCCACTGTTTTACCATGGTGCAGTGTATTCCATACTGGGCATGCATATACAGCAGCAGAGTAGCAAAGCACAAGAGCAGATGTCTTCACTGTGTCTGATTGTGATCCCCAGGTTATTCCAGTCAGCTTTTGCACGATGTTATTTCTAGCACCCATTTTTTGCTTGATAGTCAAGCAGTGCTTCTTGTAAGTCAGAGCACGGTCCAGAGTAACTCCAACGTATTTTGGTGTGCTGCAATGCTCCAGTGGGATTCCTTCCCAGGTAATCCCCAGAGCTCGAGATGCTTGTCTGTTCTTAAGATAAAAAGCACATGTCTGCATTTTAGATGGATTAGAAATCAGCTGGTTTTTCCCTGTAATAGGCAGTAAAAGCACCTAAAGCTTCAGAAAGCTTCTGTTCCAACATTTCAAAGCACCATGCTTGAGCAGTGATGGCATGATCATCAGCATAGATTAAACCTTCTGTCCCTTATGGCACTGGCTGATCATTTGTGTAAATGTTAAACATGCATTTGTATGATGCTTTGGTGTAAATAAAGGCTGAATCCACACTGCCTTTTTATGCAGTTTGAAACTGCATTATATGGTGAGTGTAGGCCTAAATAATGCAGTTAAACTGCATTATATGAGTTTACACTGATTTCATAGTGCAGTTCCATGGCAATGTAGATCCAGCCAAAGAAATATATTTGTCTCAATGAATACTAGAGTAAGCAGGAGAAAAGCCTAAACAGAGCTCACAAGAACTCAGTCTTCAAATTTTTCAGTACTGGAGTATTAGCATAAGTGAATTTTTATAAGTGAAATAATACCTACAGATCCACGGAACATGTGCAGATTTCATGCTTCAAGTGTGACACAAGCAAATAGCAAGAAAAAAAGCCAATGGGATTTTGGCCTGCATCAATAGGAGCATAGTGTCTAGATCTAGGGAAGTCATGATAACCCTCTATTCTGCTTTGGTTAGACCACACCTGGAATATTGTGTCCAATTCTGGGCACAACAATTCAAGAGAGATATTGACAAGCTGGAATGTGTCCAGAGGAGGGCGACTAAAATGATCAAGGGTCTGGAGAACAAGCCCTATGAGGAGCGGCTTAAGGAGCTGGGCATGTTTAGCCTGAAGAAGAGAAGGCTGAGAGGAGATATGATAGCCATGTATAAATATGTGAGAGGAAGTCACAGGCAGGAGGGAGCAAGCTTGTTTTCTGCTTCCCTGGAGACTAGGACGTGGAACAATGGCTTCAAACTACAAGAGAGCAGATTCCATCTGAACATGAGGAAGAACTTCCTGACTGTGAGAGCTGTTCAGCAGTGGAACTCTCTGCCCCGGAGTGTGGTGGAGGCTCCTTCTTTGGAAGCTTTTAAGCAGAGGCTGGACGGCCATCTGACAGGGGTGATTTGAATGCAATATTCCTGCTTCTTGGCAGGGGGTTGGACTGGATGGCCCAGGAGGTCTCTTCCAACTCTTTGATTCTATGATTCTATGATAAGAAACTACTGTAAAGTATGCATAAATCAATAGTACACATTACTGCAAATAAAAACGGTTTATGACTTGTGTCTCTTCTATTCTTTTTGTCTCAAGAACTCATATTTAGCCCAGGAAGCATGTGGCACACCTGTTTGAATTGCTTCCCACCTGATTCTGCACGAACATTTTCTCAAAAATACCAACAACTTTGTATCTACTTGAGGGGAATATACACACTGATCCAGGAACCGGGGAGAAGCATAATTTATTCTCCTGTCTTATGCAGCAAAATGTCACGGGCAAACCTTGACAACACCACACACAAACATTTGGTTCCTGGAAAGGAAATGAGATTATTAAAGAAGGAACATGGAGCAATTAGGACAGGAGAATTCAGTAAGCCTATTACATCAGCAAGTATCACAAGAAACCAGCCTCTCCTTTCTGGTTCACTCCTGCAGGCTAATATTAGGCACTGGCAGAGTTGATGACATCTCGAAACACCCAAGCACCACTATAACGTTATTAATAGCTCTGCTTTTGGAAACTGAAGGACTTTGCAGCAGCCTACTCCGAAGGGGTAGTTCTAATGCGACCCCTCCCAATAGAAGAAAGTGGCATATCTGGGAGCAATGCCAAGAGCATGAAAACTAGGTCAGTTTGAATGAAATGTCCTTGTAGGTTGCTACCTCTCTGATGAATGTGGGGGAGGAGTGCGGGGAATATCCCGGCGCTTGTTTGCATGTGCTAATAGATGTTTGCATGTGCTAATTTTACAATAGATCATTAAAGGCCACAGCATTTATCAGGTTAACTGGAAGAGAATGGTTGTTAATGGAAGCAGAGTGAATTGGATGACTTACTAAGCAGTATATCTCTCTGAAATATCAGAACACCTTGGGGGACCACACTGGAATGCATTTGTAGTCAGACTCTTCACTTAGGTTCTAAGTCTTAGGTGCAAGAAGGCTATTGTTTGTGATAAGAAACACAATGATGATAATGAAATATTATAAAAATCCTCATTCTACTTACTAAGAGATGTGAAAAGCTATTCACACTTAAGAGTTCTGTATTTCTTCAGTTAGGCAGTGCCTCAACTCTAGAAATCACTCCTTCTGCCTTCTGAAATCATGTGTGTCCTTGAATGACTTCAACATGTCTTAAAGGATTTGGGTTCAGTTAGACTGAAGACAAGTAGTAATGTGTAGCTGTAACATCTATTTATGTACTCCAGCAGCTCACTTTCTCTGTTTTCGCTGGACATAGTCTCTCACTTCTACTGTATTTTCCAATCAGTAATGTTTGTGAAAAAGCCAATGTCTAAACCCCAGCAGCCTAGGTGTGTAGTGCTCTTTATATATCCTGTGGTTGTTTTAACTATTTCAGTTATAATAATAATGAGGATGAGGATGAGCATGATGATGATAATATCTATGTATATAATAAAAATCAGTGTTTGTATGCGGAGGGAGGACGGGAGGTGTATGTGGCAGCGTTCTGATTGGCTGCCACTGTGGTACAATTTGCATATGGTCTCTGATTGGCCAACCTTAACATTCCAAGGTAGCAGAGGGAATAGGAAAGGGGCCTGAAGCTGTCAGGAATGGTTGGAGTTGAAGTCCGAAACACCTTGTGGCCCCCAACAATGACAAAACAAGACCAAACCTGGCACACAAGGCCCACTTTACATTCTGGTAGAGTTTGAGCGAGGATGGACCATGGATGATGGGACTTGCAGTAGTTTAACTCATTTCCTTAGAGCACTGTGGCCCACACCAATGACAGATCAGGACCAAACTTGGCACACAGAGGCCCAATGGCCCACTTCAAACCTGGTGCAGTTTAGGGCAGTGTCTTCACCCGATTCACTTCCCACAGAACATTGTAGCTCCTACAAATCACAAACCAGGCCCAAACTTGGCACACAGAGTACTCATGGCCCACTCTACATCCTGATGCAGTTCTAAGGGGGGTGGACCATGGATGATGGGACTTGCAGTACCTTTACTCACTTACTGAAACCACTGCAACCCTCATCAATGACTGATCAAGACCAAATTGGCACACAGAGCCCCCATGACCCACTCTGCATCCTGCTGCAGTTTGGAGGAGGGTGGACAATGGATGATGGTACTTGCAGTACCTTCACTCACTTACTGAAACCACTGCGACCCTCATCCAATGTCCGATAAAGACCAAACTTGGCACACTGAGCCCCCAAGACCCACTCTATATCCTGCGACTGTCATCCAATGACCAGTAAAGACCAAACTTGGCATACAGAACCACCATTACCCACTTTCTCTAATTACGCAGGCAGTGCTGGGTCCCCAAGCTAGTTAATAATAAAGTAATCTTTTGACATCAGGCATCAGCATCCTTTCTCTGCTGCTACATAACAAAGCCTACCAAGCTGGCTCTCAAAGCCTTGTTATTGTGTTTTAGAAGCTTTGGAAGTCAATGTGATACTATGGTTTGAATGTTAGAGTAGGGGCCCTTCCACACAGCCCTATATCCCAGAATATCAAGGCAGAAAATCCTACATTATCTGAGTGTGGACTCAGATAACCCAGTTCAAAGCAGATATTGTGGAATTTTCTGCCTTGATATTCTGGGATATAGGACTGTGTGGAAGGGGCCTAGGAGAAGAGAGTTGAAACCTCCATCTAGCCATGGAACTGCAGCTGGTTTTGTTTGTTTGTTTGTTTTTCTCATATTAGGAGTGACTTGAGAAAGCAACAGGTCAGTTTTGGTGTGAGAGAGTTGGTCATCTGCAATTGTGGGAAGCTTCTCTCACGTCCCTGCATGCGGAGCTGGAGCTGACAGAGGGAGCTCATCCACGCTCTCCCCAGATTCGAACCTCTGATCTGTCGGTCTTCAGTCCTGCTGGCACAAGGGTTTAATCCATTGCATCACTGGGGGCTCCTACCACAGTAAAAAAAAATCCTAATCACCTCTCAACAAAGGATTGCTCCAGGCACTGCCAGGCAATCAAATGGTAATCAAGGTGATCAGTTGAAACATTACACCTGGCTCCAGCAGACAAGAGTCCTTTGTCCCACCCTGGTCATTCCACAGATATATAAGCCCTTTTTCCTAGTTCCAACAGACCTCACTACCTCTGAGGATGCTTGCCATAGATACAGGCAAAACGTCAGGAGAAAATGCCTTTAGAACATAGCCACATAGCCCGAAAAAACCTACAACAACCCCCAAAAAATCCTTATAGGAAGCCCCCAGTGGTGCAGTGGGTTAAACCCTTGTGCCAGCAGGACTGCTGACCGATAGGTCAGTCCTTCGAATTTGGGGAGAGAGGATTGAGCTCTGTCTGTCAGCTCCAGCTTCCCATGATAGAAGCCTCCCATGGGGATGGTAAAACATCAAAAATCTGGGCAACCCCTGGGCAACGTCCTTGCAGATGACCAGTTCCCTCACACCAGAAGCAACTTGCAGTTTCTCACTCCTGACACAAAAAAAATCCTTATAGAAGGGCAATGGCAAATTCTATCTGAACACATCATGTCACACTGCTCCTATGATAGAATTACTATAAGTCAGAATCAACATGAAGGCACACAAAAACAACCTAAGCTTTCCCATAGCTTCTTTGTACCTTGCGTGGCCATATCTGATTATTTTGAGGATTCCTATTTCCATAGGTGCTGGATATGCATCTTTTGAGAACTAAGCTTTCAATACGTTAGTTATTTAATTTTCACCTTTTGGTTTAATAAGATCTGTTGCTTGATTCAAAGCCTTCATTCATTCAGCAAACTGAATCAGCTTCTTGTTGCCTGTTTTGACCTCCCCTAATGGAAAAAGCAGCGCATGTGAGAGCTGCCTGTTCTTGCTGCCTATTTAGCTCTATATTGGTTCTGTAGTTTGTATTCCACCATCTCCTTTCCAAGTATTTCAAATTTTGGTCGTTGCAGTGCATAGATACGTTGCTGTATATCACAACAAAAAGCTGTCTTCACATCCCAATATTTTACATTATTCTAATTGTGTGCCTTGCTACTGATATAAAGTGTTTTCTTTTTGCGTGTTCCCCATATTTTTGGGGAACAAGCTTTCACAGCTATCTTTGCTTTATATCTTTATTCTTGCCATTAACATTTTGCTTTTACTCAAAGATCCGCTTGTATTCTAGTATTTTTCCAAGCGACAAGTTAGAAGACTCTTGTGAAAAGCACCCAGTTCTTCTTTAACTGCCTTTCAAACAGACAAGCATTCTTTCTCCCACCCTGGACATTTTACAGATATATAAACCTCGCTTGCCTAGTTTCCAACAGACCTCACAACCTCTGAGGATGCCTGCCATAGATGTGGTGAAACAACAGGACAGAATGCTTCTGGAACATGACCATGGAGCCTGGAAAATTCATAGCAACCCAGTGATTCTGGCCATGAAAGCCTTCGACCACACATTTTCCCCATAGTTAAGGATTTGATCATCTCTTGTGATATAGGACAGTTGTGGTACTGGGTGCTACTAACTGAGTGTGTTAAGCACCTTATTGCAGCTTTTGTAACTCTCCTGGCTCAGAGGCCTCATTCAGATCTGCACACTTTCTGGCTCTGGCTCTTCATCTCCTAATATCGACAGGTCTCTTCTCTATCAGCACCACTGTTTCTGCATTTATTTTTGCTTCTTATCTGTAAGACTCATGGAAGAGAGTCCCATCTGGTTGGGTTATGCACTCATTTTCATAAACAAATACTGATTGCATTTTTAAAAATGTTTGGGGACCAAAGAGTTTATATCCTATTGGTATGCCTTCTTTTGTTGTCTTTTGGAACTCTTCTGTACTGAATGTAGAATATTGAGCCAAACATTCCTGGGTGAGCACATACTCATGCCCAAATTCATATAGTACCTTGTCTGAGGTTTTGTTTGATGGCTCAGAAGATATGTAGCTGTAGGTGTAATTTCTCCATAACATCTGGCATATTGCTTACTATACATCTCACCATTTCACTGTGTGTTGTAAGGGATTTTGATTTGGTATTTTATTCCTATTCACATGGATATTTCTGTGTTACTATAGATGTGTTTTCACCTGCAACCTGGATGGCTTTCAAAGGGGATTAGCCAAAATCATGGAGTACTAATGGATCCGTATATTCCGGACGACTGGGTGTATAAGACGTGAGTGAAAGAGGGTCTACCCTAGCAAATGTTTTGTATCGTTATCCCAATACCCCCATGCATATGGGATATATTGAGCATGGTGATCAGATCATGATATGAATAAACATAGCAGTTTAAATAAAGTACCAGTAGGGCCTTCTCGTGGACCACCATGAGAATTTGGGGGGGGGGGCTGAAGGTACATGCCTGTTCTCACACCAGAACCGACTTGCAGTCATTCCTGAAACGAAAACAAAAAACCAAACCAACAAAAAAACAGTAATTGTTTTCTAATGTTTGTATTCGCTTTGTTTTAAATTGTGACCAAAGTGTGTGAGAAAGATGAGGTATGAATAAAGTAAATGAAGAAATTTATTTGGAAATGACTTTTGATTTTATTTGGTAGGGTTATCCGAAACATTTTTATGCCTGATGTGAAGTGAGAAACCACAGCCCAGTATATTAGCTTGCATGAGAGATAGCTGCTTGCAGTCAGCTAATTTGAGAAAAGGCAGGATATAAAATCTCTCAGCAGAGGCAGAGATCTCTCTCAGTCAGTTTTGCAGATCACTGTGAGAGAAAGAAATATAGTAAGGAGAGGCCCGATAAACAAATAATTAGTTTTCACTGTGATTGCCTGTGGAGGATGGCCTGTGTGCCAGGCAGGCAGTGCTTGAGAAGTCATAACTGGAGGGTGTGTACGTGCAGAACATCAGTTCAGTGGGATGCTGGCTCCTCTCGACCAATAGGAATTGGTCCATGGACCAGAATGTTGAACCTTGCCTTCTCCTCTGCTGCAAAATGTGAGTCACACTTTGTGGTTGCCTTTCTCCTCTCTCTCCATCATTTGCCCTTTTCTTTTCATCTTGCAAATGTTAACCATTTACGCTGGACCACAGTTCTTTTGCCTGTGTCTTTATTTTGGCTTTCTGTTCTGCAGAAGCTTTCGCTCCCTCTGCTCTTCTGACTCTCCTGAATGTGTGTGATGTTCACATGACTCAGCCTATATCCTTTTTCAGATGACGTTGCAAAGACAGAGCCAGTGGAGTCACATGCGCACGCTGAGAGAGGAGCTGCCAGCGAGCTCTCAGTGTCTTTTCCCAGGTCGACCGGTCATCCCAGGCAAAGTCTCTTGGCATTTGAATGTGTACAGTGGGTGTGAGATTGTGTTCCAATCCGAGTAGGCCTGCTTATGAATAAACACAGATATACAGCTTTATTATTTATGCATGTATATCTGTAAGCCTGGCCATCTGGTTCTAAGCAAGGACAAGGGCTCCCAAGGATGAGTGGGGTATGCATTTCTGTGCCTCTCTCTACTATTTGTGTTGCTGTATTCTTACTGTACTTTTTATTATCTAATTTTACAACCAAAAGACCAGGAAATATATTAGGCAGGACAGAGAGGGTTTTCCAAAATATATTTCTCCAAAATGTCTCAAATCCCTCCATAGGTCAAATGGGTCAAGTATGGGCCATAGGCTGAATCCTGAAAGGCTGTATGTATGGTTCTCAGCTTCACTCTCGCAGTCTGCTAAGTCCTCATGCCCACCCCAAAATCAAACCTCGAAATAGATATTTGGGTTTTGTACAACCGGCCTGATGTACCCTATGGCAAACACTGGGGGGGGGGGGCAATGTGTTCCCCAGCCCTGACAGAATTGTCCCCTTCAGCCATCATATTGGGAACACTATATCAAAGAGCACTTCATATTGAAGAACTCTTCGCCGATGCAGCCAGCACGGAGCCCACCGGATCTCATCATACGACGCAGTTACTTCCAGTGAGGCTCCACGCTAGCTGTGTCAGAAAAGTGTTTTAGAATAGGGAAATCTAAACAAAGAAGACTACCAATTAACAGATTGATAATGCTTGGGACAGCATGGGAACATGCTGAAAAGGTACACTTTCCAGGCAAGCGAGTGATGTGGGGCATTAGGTGATGGATTCACCCTGCTGCCCCATGATTTGCCATAGAGATTCCCCCACTGCCTTCCACATCAAAGAGTCTGCCTCCACAAGGCCCATACCCCATTAGACCCGGGCCTTTCAGGAAGGCCTGGGTCTAATGGGGTATCTATTAAATTCAGGAATTCATCCTCTTTTACCTGAGGCATAATTTGGACAGCTCAGATAAAAGTCCAACAGGGCCCACATTTTGCACCCTGTCTGGAAGGGCCCTCAGACCCATTCAAAAAGAGTAAAAAGTGGAGGCCACATTTATGCAGTGCATGCCACTAACAGAAGGACTGAAATGGCTGAGCTCCTACAGTTTCTACATAGTTCTTGCATGTGAAGAGGTCCCAAATCAACCTATTCGTGACAGCCACGGCTGGTGACAGCTTTCACCCCTTGCAGGACCAACTGAACTAACGCATACCAAGTTCCAGGCCCATGAAATCCTCTCTCTTCATCCTTCCATGCATTGAGCTAGCTCAGAGCATGATTCCCAGGCCCTGGACAAGAGAGGTAAAAGCACACAGAAGGCTGCTTTATGGCTATAGCCAGGGAAGCCATTGAATCGTGTCTCTGTCCTTCTCTCCAGTCCCAAACATTTTTCCCACATTGTAACATGACAAGTGTACAGAATGGCTTTTCACATATGCATGTAGCAAAAATGCCCATCCGAATGGAAATCTATTGGGGTTGGTAACAAGAGGGCAGGGAGAGGCACATATATATTCCTTTTTTATTTTATGCACAAATACACACATACACACATGTTTCTGTCACGGAGTCCATGCTGTTTGGCATGACTAGGGGAGAAGAGTTTGCTTTCATCTTCAGTGATTAGAGAGCATGGACAAGAATGGTGGTAGTGATGACATATTCAAAACAGCACCGCCATGTGATTAAAGAAAAACAATACTGAGTAAGTCAAACAAGGATCCTATGTACTACAAGGTCCACTGGCAGTTGTGGGGAGGAGTGTACAGTGTTGAGAACTCCACTGTGCCTGACAATCAATAGAAAGGTTTGCATGCATGGCCCTTTTTTGTTTCTAAGGGGGAAAAAGAATTGTATTAAAATAAAAGGATGAAAGTGTTATGCATTGTATATATGTGCAGCTGTGTGTTCACATTCTGCCTTGTTATTTACATAGTAACTGTGCTGAAGAAAATTTAGAACATACAAAAAAGCAGTAATCACACTTAAAGATATAAGCGGGGAGGCACAGAGTCCCCATATGCAGAAGTGGACATAAAGGGTGACCTCTTCGTGACAGCACCATGTGGATCAGAATTGTGATTTCCACATCTTAACCATTCTCTGTGCAGAGTGTTGCTATTGTCACTCCACTGTTTGAATCCACACCTTCATGTATTGATACCTGTGGGTACTCTTCATGCAGGGAAAGGCTGCCCACAGTCCAAAGCAAGAGGAAAATCTGATGGTGCTTTAAAAAATGATGTGTGTCTCATCTAAAAGGTATTGTGGGCATCAGGCAATGCTCCTATTGTTCACTAACCCATTCATTGTGCTGACTGAGGGTGAATGGAGTGGAGCCCAGCAACACACAAAGAGCCATAGATTCACCATCCCTGTTTTTAAAGCTCTCTCTTTAAAAGAGAAACATATACAGATTTATTTTCTACAGTTTCTGCATATGCAAGAAACATGATGGGAGGCTAAAGAAAAGGGATAGATTTTTTTAATGTTGCAGTAACATTTGATGCAGCGTAGTACAACCAAAATGCCAACCCATGGAAAGAATTAGAAATACTATTTTGAGAAGGTCAAAACTCACTGTCCTCAACTGCAGCCGCCTGCCATTCATGTGACAAGAATATGTGCCCTATCAGGTTGGAAAACCCAACCTGAGAACTGGCAAACATTCTTGATACTAAAGTAAGGAGGATAACTTGGGTGCTGCCCTTCTGACAAAACAGAGTCACAGTAAAAGCAAAACTCATGTACATTTGTGTGTGTGTGTCCCGCACAAGTTGTGTAGCTGCCAGCTCTAGGATGGCACTATAGCATATGGCTATGACCTCCTTTGCCACATATATTGACCAATACTGATCTAGATCAAGGCTTTTTAAACATTTTCCATTCACAACCCTTTTCTGCCTGAGAGATTTTTATGTGACTCCAGATACATAAATACAGTACAGTCTGGCTTATCCAACATTAACTGGCCGGTAGAACTTTGGATAAGTAAAAATGTTGGATACTAAGGAGGGCTTAAGGAAAAGCCTATTAAACATCAAATTACATTATGGTTTAACAAATGAAGCACCAAAACATCATGTTTTACAACAAATCGACAGAAAAAGCGGTTCAATACATGGTAACATTATGTAGTAATTACTGTATTTATGAATTTAGCACCAAAATATTGCAATGCATTGAAACAGCTGTGGATCCAGGCAGGAGGCAGACTGCATTGGATAATACAGAACACTGGATGAGCGAAGGTTGAATAAGTGAGACTCTACTGTATATAAAATAGGTTTGAAAATCAAACATTTACTGAAAATAAATCAGTATTTGCAAGAATTGTCAAACAGCCTAATTTTCCTATTTGTGGAGTACAACTGAAGCATTTTCTGCAGAGTCGACTGTAAACAATGCATATTATTGCTAACATATTTGTGTAAATGGGTGACAGCCAGAAATCTTCTACTGTTGCTAATTTTTTTATGACCCCAACACCAAACTCAGGAGAGGACATTTGGAGTCGCAACCTTTAGTTCAAGAAGCTGTGCTAAAAAATTTCCAGTTTCTGAATAATAATAATAATAATAATAATAATAATAATAATAATAATAGCAATAATAAATAAATAAATAAATAAATAAATAAGCCAGTAAAGGTGGTCCCAGTGGTGATCGGCACCCTGTGTGCAGTGCCTAAAGACCTTGGCCTGCACTTAAATACAATCAGRGCTGACAAGATTACCATCTGCCAGCTGCAAAAGGCACCTTACAGGGATCTGCARGCATTATTCGCCGATACATCACACAGTCCTAGACACTTGGGAAGTGTCTGACATGTGATCCAATACAACAGCCAGCAGAATGTCTGCTGTGGACTCATCTTATGGTGTTTCAAATAATAATAACGACTTTATTTTTGTACTCTGCCTCCATCTCCCCGAAGGGACTCYGTAAAACTATAGCATATAAAACAACATTTTAAAACTCAAAACAATGCACAATGACCTATGGTAGCAACTACTGTAAGACATGGCCAAACTGTAAACAAGATCCTCCTGGACTCATCACTTACACTTGAAGCTCAGGCGRTGGCCAGGAGGGCCTTCGCACAATTAAGACTCYTGTGCCAACTGRGACCGTACCTCATGAAGGCAGATCTGGCCAGGGTGGTCCATGCCTTAGTCACCTCCAGATTGGACTACTGTAATGCATTCTACATGGGGCTACCCTTGAAAACAGCCCGGAAATTTCAGTTGGTTCAATGAGTGGCGGCCAGATTGTTAACTGGTGCTCCTTACAGGGAGCGGTCAACCCTCCTGTTTAAGGAGCTCCACTGGCTGCCGTTCATTTTCCGGTCCCAATTCAAGGTGCAGGTGCTTACCTACAAAGCCCTAAACGGTTTGGGACCCACCTACCTACGTGACTGCATCATTGTGTACGAACCCACACGATCTCTTCGATCATCTGGAGAGGCCCTGCTCGCGCTCCCGCCTCCATCGCAAGTGCAATTGATGGGGACGATGGACAGGGCCTTCTCGGTGGTGGCCCCTCGACTCTGGAACTCACTCTCCAGGGACATCAGACATGCTCCAACGTCAGTCTTTAGGAGGAGCCTGAAAACGTGGTTGTTCCAGTGTGCCTTCCCAGAATAAGGAAAGTCCCAGCAATATGTCCCTAAACGCACTTTAGTAGTGATCTAGGATTGTCTGCACGCTCTATCCCTCTCCAAAATTTCTATCCTGTTTATATGTCACCTGGTCACGCCCAGCATTATTTTTTTAAAATTTTAATTAGTACATTTGGCCTGCCATAGGTTTTAAACGTCGTTGTGTTATTGTTAATGTTTATTGCTATTTTCTGTTTATAAACTTTATTTATTGTTGTACTATTGTCGCTATTGTTTTATTGTTGTATTGTGGGCTCGGCCTCATGTAAGCCGCACCGAGTCCCTTGGGGAGATGGTAGCGGGGTACAAATAAAGTTTAATAATAATAATTTAATAAAGACGAGGGAATGGGATAGTGGAAATTGTAGCTAAGGAACAGGCCATGGGATGAA